GTAGCAGTCAGCCTCCCTGCGCTGTGTGAATTGCGCCTCTCCATGGATCTGAGGACTGAGGGTCAGTTAGCGCAGCAAGCAAGAAGCCTGAGCCCGGAAAGTGTGGCCTGAGGGACGGACTCACGTGGCTCCAGGCGTTTTTGAATGCCCCTCACTGCCACGGGCACATGCCAAGTCTGCCTTCACCCACTTTCTAACACAGAGTAGAAAGTCCTGAATTTAGAGCTATGAATCTTCCTCTAAGGGACCAGCTTAGCTACATCTTACAAAGTTGGAGATGTATTTTCATTTCCATTCATGGGAAGGTATTTCTTAATCTCACTTATGATTTCGACTTTGACTAATGGAATATTCTTAGAAGTTGATTGTTTGACTTTCAAGTATTTGGAGGTTTCCTAGATGTTTCTGTTATCAATTTCTAATTCAATTTCATTTTGACAAAATGACATGTGTATAAAAGTTTAATCTTTTACAATTTACTGAGGCTTGTTCACAGCCTGCTGTGTGGTGCATCTGGGAAATGCTCTGTATGTACCCTCTACTCTGGTAGCTTGGTGGAAGATGCATCTAAAAAAGAATGGGTTTTTAACGCATGGTGGCCCGGCCAGGCTGGAGCGCGTCTAATCCCAGCACCTCAGGAGGCTGAGGCAGGGGGATCACTAGTTTAAGGTCAGCCTCAGCAACTTAGTGGTGTTTGGATCCTACGGAGTGAGGGTCCCAGGGGCTGGGTGTTCAAGGCCAGCCAGGCCACACAGTAAGACCATCTCAAAAGGAAGAGCATGCTTTCTGCTGTCGGGGGTGGTGTCAAGGGAACGAACGGTGTGCTGGTTGGTGTCCTCGGTGCTGCTCGGTCGCGGTGTCTGCAGGGAGTTGCTGTCCTCCGCTGGCCAGGTCCTGGGAAGGTGCTGGGACCCCCTGCAGTGGTGGGCTTGCCTTTCCTCTTCATGCTGTCTTGGCTGCACTGCGTCCGGAGGCCCCAGGATGAAGGCAGGTGTGTGCGTGAGTGTCGGCCTTTGGTTGACCCCCTGGCCATCATGCTCACCCTTTGGGGCACCTCCTCCTGAAGTTGCTTTTCTGGCATGAATATGGCCACCCTGCCATCAGGAGTGGTGGCCCTGTCGTGACCTGTGCCCGCTCTGGCATTTGACCTGTGTGTCCTTCACTCAGAGTGGGCTTCTGGTCCACAGCATAGTCTCTTCCCGCTCGTGTCCGGTGTGACAGTCTGCCCGTGACTGTCATCAGTGTGGTGGGGTGGAAGTCTCTCTCTGGCTATTTCTTCAGTTGGTGTCCCCTCTCCTCTGGGGTCAATCAGTTCTGAGGCTTCCCCTCATCCGCACTGCGAGTGACCAGGCTCCAGCCCCTCGTGCCTCGTGGCCAGGTGACGTTCACGTCGCGTGGCTCCACGGCTCCGGACAGCCCCGCAGCCTGCTCCCTCCTCCCAGCCTGCTCCCTCCTCCCAGTCTGTGTGGCCATGTCAAGGTCCTCTCCACACTGTGCTGCCGACTGTCCTGGCCGGGGTGTGCTCTAATGACGGCCCTTAGATCCGTCCTTCTGGCCCACTGCCCCCCACGTGAGGCACCCCCATGAGCACGGTGCCGGTGACTCGCTGGCCTCCTGAGCGTGCTCTTCCTTCTCGAGGGCTCCCAGGTAGCAACTGCACATGAATCCAGTGCTTTCCCGTCTGCGCGCAGGCCCGTGGCGCACTGAGCGCATTCGCACAGTGGGAGGCCATCGCCACCGCTCATCTCCACTGTGTTCGGCTTCCCAAACCGGAATTCTGTCCCCATTAGACTCAACTGCAGTCCCCCCAGGCCTGGCCCCCACATTGCGGGTACCAGCTGATGACTCCAATGACCCCAGGGCGTCCGGCCCGTGGACCGGGGGGTCTTTTGCTCTGACCTACTCCTCTTGGGGTACACCTTCAGCGTCCACCCAGTGCCAGGGCTTGACTTCATTTTCAGCCCAGCTGGCTCTTGGTCTTGATGACGTCCTGCAGCTGCCTGGACCCTGGGCAGCTGGGGCTCTCCAGCTGCTGCGGGCCCATGGGAATGTGGGTGCACGTGGAGTGTGAACCCTGCTTTCCTTCCCTTTGAGTGTGTGCCCAGACGCGATGCCAGCGTCCCGGGGCACAGCCTGAGCTTGGCCTCGCAGCGCGGCCCTCACACCCCGGCAGTGCCCACGGTTCTCAGCTTCTCCACGCTGGACCACACTTCTTTTCTGCCTGTTTCTTGGCTCAGATGGCCTCCGTCTCTGTGGGCAGTGGAGCTTCTCATAGTCTGGGTTTGCGCATCCCTAGTGACTGGCGCACTCAGTGTCTGTCCACGTGCCGGTTGGCCGTGGTGTGCCTGCGGGGAGGAGCGCCAGCCGGAGCCCACCCTAGTGTGGAGGGCTGTGCCCGTGCTGTTGGTCCCGGGAGTCCTTCCTTCTGGCTGCCACTCCCTCGTGCGGCGGGGAGTTGGGCGCGTCTTCCCCCTTCCACAGTCCCTGCTGCCTCGCTGATGGACTCCTCGGACGTACGGACGTCTTTACACCTGATGGCGTCAGACTTGTCTAGGTTCCACGTGTGTCTAGGAATCCGCTGTCGAACCCCAGGCCGAGCCGACGTCCCCTCCTCCCCGGAGAGCGCAGTGTCTGTGCCGACTCAGTCTTTTCCCACGGTGGACGGTGGACGTGGACCTCACTGGTCTCATCCTGGTTTCAGTTCGCATCTCCCGTTTCTGTCCTGCCTTTCCTGCAGATTCCCGCAGGTTGTCACCAGGACTGTGTCCAGGACTGGAGCCTGGCTCCGCCCCACCCCCTCTCCTTGTTACCTGACACTCTGCCCTTGGGGACAGGAGCCACATGGGGACCCTGAGGGAGCCCAGAGCAGAGTCGTCCTTCCCTGAGGAGCCTCCTTGAGGCAGCTGGGCAGTGGGAGGGGTCAGGAGCCTCTATTGCTCAGAGCTCCGCCTTCAGGAAACCCGGGGCCATCCCGGGAGCAGCCTCCCTCTGGTTCCTGGGGCTCCCTCCTCACAGACCCAGGGAACCCATTTCCTCCCCACTCCAGACAGCAGGGTGCCAAGGGCAGCGATGAGGGCGGGTGTCCAGAAGCCTCTGGGACGGGCTGGTAGGCTGGACCTTCCAGAGCAGGCTTTCTGGTGGGTCAGATCCCGTGCCTGGTCGGGTTCCCAGCCTCTCCCTGTGTGTGACTGCTGTGTCCCTGCTGAGCAGGGAGGGCAGGTCTCTGGCCAGCTGTCCAGGTCAGGGTGTGGTGGCTGCCCTCTGAGCCCCTGTGCCCCTCCAGGCGCGGCGTGCTGCATCTCCACGAGAGCCGTGGCATCGATGACCTGGGCCCTCCGCGGTGGCAGCTCACAGTCTGCCTGGTCCTGGTCATTGTCCTGCTCTACTTCAGCCTGTGGAAGGGGGTGAAGACCTCGGGGAAGGTGAGTGCTGGGCCCCGCCACCAGGCGTGGACACAGGATGGTGGTCAGGTCAGGGTGGACGCACGGCCATGGTCGGGACACCTGCCATAGCTGAGTCAGCATGGACAAGTGTCTGTCCATGTGCAGAAGTGGACAAGTGGCCCTGTGGGGTTGAGGAGATACTTGCTGTGTTTGGGGAAGGACATGGAGAGGGAATCACCCACAGCAGGAGGTTTCCAGAGTGAAGACAAGCACAGGGGGCGCTGGCGCTCCCCCTTCTCTCTCTCTCCTATGAAAGTGCTGTGGAGGGACATGGGCACCCAGAGCAGTTCTCACACAGCAGTCACTGCACTGTGGTGGGCACACTCAGCCCTCAGGACAGCAGTCCTCTCGCTCCCCAGCAAGGTCAGCTGGCGTGCCCCTCACCCTGCGGGAGCCCAGCGACTCCTGCCCACTGCACTCTGGCCTGGAACACACACGGGACAGAGGCAAGCTGCAGTCCACTCAGTGAGCTTCCCTGGGCTGCATCGTGTGATGCGCAGGACACCAGGCGGCCCTCAGAGGCCACCTCCTAGCACTCCCACTTAGGTGGCCCTGTGCGGCTCTCCTGCTGGCACCTGCTGTACCAGGGCCCCTCCCAGTGGCCTGGGCAGTCCAGTGTCACCTGCTCTCCTGCAGGTTGTGTGGATCACAGCCACCATGCCTTACGTGGTCCTCACCGCCCTGCTCCTGCGCGGTATCACCCTCCCTGGGGCCCTGGACGGCATCAGAGCCTACCTGAGCGTGGACTTCTACCGGCTCTGCGAGGCATCTGTGAGTCACCCCCCGTGGACCCCAGACCTCGAGGGCTGTCAGGGGCAGGCCATGAGCACCTACGTTCTGGCCCGGGAGTCCCACAAGCACTGGCAGGAACTTCTCTGTCCAGCAGTGCAGGCTGGCTGGCCCCCGCACTGTCGGGCCAGGTGAGGGGCCTGAGCAGGTGCAGGGGGAGGACCCTGGGGGCAGTCCTCTGCTGGCCGCTGCCAGGCACCACACCCCAGTGCTGCCTCGCTGTCTCCCCTTTGCCACCTGCTGCCAGAAGGGTGCCCTTGAGTCCTGGAAAACTCCATGCGGCTCAGCCGGCCGCTGCCGTTCCCCGTCCACCAACCCGCAGCGCTGCCTGCTCCGGGCCTCCTGGGCCTGCGCACAGGAAGAGGGTGACCTCAATCTGGTCCCGTGGGAAACCAGATCCAGTCAGGCCGCACAGAGGGAGAGAGCCTCTGGGCTAAAGCATGTGGACGGAGCGGCCTCAGAGAGGCCAGGTCTGGCCAGGCCCTGCGGGTGGGTCCCCGAGGGAGGGAGAAGGGACAGTGCTGTTTGGGCAAAGAGGAGTGCAGTGGCCAGTGGCAGAGGCTCCTGGGCACGGGTGGTGGAGAGAGCAGCTGTGGGGATGTCAGCTTCAGGTGGACAGGGTGGGATGCAGGGGCAGAGGCCATCCAGGGGTTCTGTCACTGTGGGACGGGGTGGCAGCAGGGGACGGTGGGGGCAGGAGGCCTCCGCAGGTGTGGCCCTAGGCAGGTAAGGCCAGGAGTCAGTTCCAGGTGCACAGGG